CTTCAAAACTGCCATCGTCCACCTTTAAGAGCATAATCGAGGGAGTTATGGTTTTTGAACCAGCAATTATATCGATGATGAGAAGCACGTGCCAATCTAATGGCTATAGTGCCCCCTCTTTTGAAGATAACGTAAAGGGAGCGACCGTTTTTCAGTGGAATGCGAGGGGATTACGTTCACATCTTTCTGACTTCAGACAGTTTATTTATAAATATAGGTTTCCGATTCTTGCGATTAGTGAATCCCGTGTTGCGCCAGATTTTCGACTTTCTGGATATGAGATATTTCAATCAAGTCGAGATTCCGGAATCAGCCGAGTTTTTCTTGCTATTCGAAAAGACCTAACATATGTAGCAAATACCATCCAATCACATGCAAATAACGAGTATGTCAGCGTAACTGTAAGCAAGGGAAAGCTTACATTCACTGTTATTGCTGCATATATTGCCCCATCATGTTGCTTTGATTTTGACAGACTGAATTCAATACTTAGACAATGTTCACCCCCATTTTTAGTTACGGGTGACTTTAATGCCCATAATTCAGCCTGGGGTAGCGCAAGAACAACACGCCGTGGAAGAGAACTTCTAGATTTAATGGATGATCTCGACCTGTATGTACTAAATGATGGAACGCCGACATTTATCCGCGGCACCCGATGCAGCAGCTGTTTAGATGTCTCGTTTATGACACCTGAATTAATATCCCAATCGCCTTGGTTTACAGACATTGAGACCCATGGTAGCGACCATACACCTACTTATATAACAATACCAGTTTTAAACCCAAAGTCAACCGAGACTTAATTTGGTACACTGACTGGACATGCTTAAAGATAACTTAGAATTGAAGCTGCAGGCTTCAAACACATATAATGAGTTCATTTCATCCATTCAGCAGTCGGCAACAGAGTCGAAAAAATCTGTTCATCTTCCTTCCTCGCGCACAGTAGTAGATGCGGAGTATGAGCGTCTCCGTGCAATCCGGCGGCGTGCAGAACGACGCGCGACTCAGCTACCTGAGGATGTCCGTATAGATAGGCGAACACAAAAACATATTCGTCGTCACTTGGACAAGCTGTCTCGCAAGAAGTGGAAAGGCTTATGCGCTTCATTTGATCCTCGTGCTCCTCTTACACGGATATGGCATATCGCACGGGGTTTGCGCTTTCGACCTCAACAACGAACACCATTTAATGCACTCTCAATCTTCTTGAAAAGGTCGCTACTTGAAATTGCAGAAGACTATTGTGCTTCAATAGTAGATATGCCAGCTACGAACAGTGTTAGTCAAGTAACAGCAAACCCTGTAAATTCAACTTCTTCATATTCCTGTGAGATGGATAAAATCAGGGATGGGCAGTATTTCAAATACAAGTATTTGAAATACGTATTTCAAATACTTTGTGCATTTTGCAATTGTATTTAATTACAAATTGGGTAATGTATTCGACTTGTGTATTTAAATACTAAAACGTGGGTATTTCAAATACAATTGTAATTAAATACAATTTTGTGGCGGAAATACATTCCTCAAATTTATTGTCACTGTCCAGAGCAGGAAGAAAACTACGTACTGCACCGAATGCAGTGTCTCTCAATCAAGCACAAGCGTTTGGTGACTTTGCGATTACGGTGCTAGTCCAGGGCAAGAATAGTGACGAAATCGACGTTCACAGGCAGATTGGCTAAATAAGTGCCTGTGACAACTTGTGATGCTTTCCAGACTGATTTCCCTCTATATTTTGGCCTGGAACATTCTAAATGCGCGGGTCGTCCAGATTTTTGTAACTGGAGCGAGTTGCAACAATAAAAAATTCTCTAGCTTGTGCTGCGCGTCTTGGTCGTCTCGGTTCTTTGTTGGTCCATGCCCAAATGTGATCGACAAAAGAAGCTGCTTGAAGCTCTGTACTTTTTTCGCCTACTACGTCCAAGCTGCTTACATTTTTTTGTGATTATATTTCTATTACGCTACTAGAGCCTCGCACACTAACTCCCGAGTGTGCAATGCAAAATTATGAGATACCCAGAAACCCGTTGCAGGTGCTTTGAAGTCGCTGACGCAAATTTTGAGGAAGGTATTTGGAAAAGTATTTGGAGGAGACCAAATACATTTGGTTGTATTTGTATCTTGTATTTAAATACTTTTTTGGAAATGTAATTAGATTTGTAATTAAATACATTTTTGACGAAGTGTTTTGTATTTGTATTTCGATACATATTTGCATGTATTTTGCCCATCCCTGGATAAAATGTTTACTCCCCAAGAACTCGATCAAGTTCTGACGTGCCTTAAACACTCTTCATCACCTGGGCCAGATAAAATCACTAATGGCCTGCTTGCCCACCTCGGGCACGAGGCACGCCAGCATCTTTTAGAAATATTCAATGATTCTTGGATCACAGGCACCGTGCCACAGGAATGGAAAACGGCATGTGTTGTGCCCATACTCAAAATTGACAAATCTCCCTTGGAAATTAAGTCCTATAGACCTATTGCACTGACAAGCTCCATAGGAAAATGCATGGAACGCATAATCTTAGCACGGTTGGAATGGTATTTAGAATGAAATTCAATATACCCAGATTCAATGACCGGCTTTAGACAGGGCCGAAGTTCCATTGACAATGTTATGAATCTAACTAGCCACGTTGAGGATCACAAACTACGTGGCAAACTGACCACAGCCGTTTTTCTTGATGTAAGGGGAGCCTTCGATAACGTGAGTCACTCAGCAGTTTTGCAAGGTCTTCGATCAATTGGCGTAAAAGGTCGTCTCTATAACTGGATTGCTAATTACCTACATAACAGAACGATTTTCATGCACACGAACGAAGGAGATACAAGCCAATATTTTATAAAGAAGGGAGTACCGCAAGGTGGGGTCTTGAGTCCCGTTTTATTTAACATTTCCCTCATTGGTATTACTGAGGTGGTATCAAAATCTATCCACATTACTTTATATGCCGATGATTATGCCTATGGACATCCGCAATTTCCCTTAAGTGTATAGAGACTCGTCTGCTTTGTGCGCTCACAAACGTGTCTGAGTTTCTAACAAAGCGTGGACTTGAGCTGTCACCTGAAAAAGCTGCCGCTCTTGCCTTTACGCGGATGAAGACAGACCTATACCCGTTAAAAATCAACGGTACTGCAATTCCCTATGTATCCTCTCACAAATTTCTTGGGATTTTTATCGATCGTGGCCTGACTTGGAACGCCCAGTTCGCTCATCTTCACGTCAAATTGTCATCATTTGTTAACCTTGGACGGTTTATAAGTGGCACGACCTGGGGAGCTACAACAAGTGCACTTTTCTGCCTCTATAGCAGCTTGTTTGTTGGCATTCTTCGTTACTGCCTTCCTGTACTGCATGGCCTGAGTCCGACTAACATGAGAAAGCTCCAGTCACTTCAAGCACAGGCACTTAGAGTATGTCTTGGCGTTCCAAAATGCACATCCACCACAGATACAATAGCAGAATCCCACAGTCTTTCCATAATATCTCTTCGCACCCAGGAGACGCTCCGGAATCATGTGCGACATCTGGCACGGCATAAGACCCACCATCTAGCGAACATCTCCGAAAGATGCTTCTACAGCCGTATTGCCCAAGTGATCCTTGATCACAAGCACATTCTCCCAACATCTTTTCAATGTCATAAGTTACTCGACATTCCCCCATGGACACTACCTCAAATCAAAATCCACAGTACTATTCCGGGAATTGAGAAGAAAACTGTGCTCCCCGCTGACGTCCTGCGGCAACTGTCCTTATCATACATACATTATGAGCACCGCTCTACGTGTCACATATACACCGACGCGTCCACAACATTTAACCAGTCCTCCATTGGTATTGTAATCCCCGCATTTTCACTTAAAATTGGTTATAAACTTTCTCATAGGATGCCCTCGACAGCTGCTGAGTTAGTAGCTATTCGCGAGGCGTTAAGATACATTCAGGCAATTCCCCCTCGTTCCTGGACAATAGTAACTGACTCTAGATCATCCATTCAATCACTCCAGTTCCAACGCCTGAAAAGCCCAAACAAGCAACTACTATTGGACATCCTCGAATTGCACTGGGACGCAATACGCAACGGTCATTCAGTACGCCTCCAGTGGATACCAAGTCATTGCGGCGTCCCAGGAAATGAATCAGCCGACGCTTTAGCAGCAGATGCCCGTAACTCCATCAACGAAGTACAAGCCCCATATACAAGATCAGATATAAAAGCAACAGTGAATATACCGGGGAAGAGCATAAACAAACGTCTGTGCGACGACGCCACCGATCAAGGGACACGGCTACGCACTATCGACCCGCACCTAATGTTTCATGTACCTCGAGGTCTCAACCGACGGCGTCAAGCTGTGCTACATCGAATACGCTTAAACGTTGCATACACAAATAAGTACTTGTTTATCATAGGAAGACTTAATCCGCCAGACTGCGCGAACTGCAAAACTCCGGAAGATTTGAGACACATTATGCTGGATTGTCCCGACTATGAAACTGAACGCACACAACTAAGAACATATATTAAGTTATCCCCCCAAGAAAACCTCACCCTCGACAAGATACTGGGACCATGGAGAAACGAAGCCACCGCCACACTTGCGACAAAGTCCCTTTTGCGATTCCTGACCACGACTGGCCTCATCAAGAAACTGTAATGTAAAATAAGTTTTTGCTGCTTTTCCTTTTTTTTTTTTTTTGCTTTTTTTTGTGTTTGTGCCTTTAACTTTCTTCACATCTTTTTACTTCTCTTCCCGACCCTTCCCAGAGTAGCCAGTCAGGAGATACCTCCCGGCTAATTTCTCTAATTTCCTTTTACCCCATCAATAAAAAAAAAAAAAAAAAAACCTACTGACATGAATGAAAACGG